AAAATTATATATCTTTTTATATAATAATATATTACATATTATTATTTATATAATAAAATATTATATATATTTATGTCTAAATTTAAATCATAACACCTCATGTGGCAATGTGGTTAGTGTCTTCTTTTGTATATATTTGATCCAGGTTCGAATCCCACACTTTATATCTATTTTTCTCAATTTAATTTAACGAGCCAATTTTTGAGCCGAACACGAACATAAATATTTAAATCGAGTCGAACATGAACGCATTGTTCACGAGCCGATTTCGAACACGAGCCGATTTCGAACACGAGTTATTTCGAACGAGCCGGGCACGAGCCAAGCCTGAGCTCGCTCAAGCTCGGCTCGTTTACAGTACTAGTTAAAAACAAGAAAAAAATTGCTCAATAAATAAGGTTAAAAACAAGAAAAAGTGTAAGTTAAAATACTATCAAGAAATTTTTAAAAATAGAAGACAATAAATTTAAGAGATAAAAACTGAGTATATGATATATAATTTTAGCAAGTGTGATATTACTAATTATCATTCAAATATTATCAAAAATTAGTTGAAAAATTGGTGTGATAGATTCAAGTATCTTAGATCTATAACAAAAGAACCGAGCTATAAATGAGGATAAAATTTATACAGTTAGATTTGATGATTAAAGTGAAAATTTATCGTAGGAGTTGTTTTAAGAGAATTTCATGAACACTTAGAACTAGATTTTACAAAGACTAAAATTAGTTCAACGATATTAGTAGTTAATATTGGTGAAATAGATTCAAGTATCTTAGATCTATTACAAAATAACCGAGATAACAATTAGTGTACAAGTCTTACAGTTAAGATTAGATTATTAAAATGAAAACGTATAGTACAAGTTGTGTTAAGAGAATGTCATGAAGATTTAAGAGCTAGATTTTATACATCACAATTATGTCAGCAATATTAGTAGTTAAATTGGTTTAACTTCTAATTAAGATTAGATGATTAAAACGAACTATCGTACAAGTTGTGTGTTAAGAGAATGGCATGAAGACTTGAAGCTAGATTTCATAAACTGCAATTAAGTCAACGATATTGTGAATCCAAACACTAGATAGTATGATAATTATTAAAATCGAAGTTGAACATATTAAATAAGAAAATTAAAATGGATGTATGACAAAACTAAAAAGAAGAAAGTAAGGAACAATGAACAAAATCTAACAAAGATGATGCAATTAAAAATAAACTTAGTGATCTGAATACATGCAACGAAGTATAGTAAATATAATAGAGGTCTGGATGTCTAAACTCAGTACAAAAGTCAAATTAATAAGCAGGGGGAGCAATTTTGATTTAATTTTCATCTATGTGGCAGTTTTATTTTATTTTGTAATTTTCAGTTCACTTCATTTGAGCATACATGTGATGGTGTGCCTCAGAGAAAGGGTCATTTTCTATTTAGTTATGATGGTTCTTGGTATGGGTAATTCTCATTTGATTTACCCTCTTTCAGTTGGTTTAATTACTTGTTATGTAGTCATCGGCTTAACAGTGATTGGCAATGATTCTCTATATTTTTTAATGACTTCAAGAGACTTGTATCGGAAGAATGTGAGGTTCAAGTGGTTGTTGCATGCTTCATTAATGTAAAAATTATGGTGGTTGTTTACCCTGTGGCTTGAAGTTTGTTAGTTTTGCAAATAGGCACTTCATCCCCCACATAATTTTTTTTTAAAATTAGCTTTTCAAGGTTCTTCAATTTGGTCAAATTTGATATAATTCAAATTTTAATTGCAGTAAAAAAAATAACTTTTTAATGATTTTACAGTTTAAATTTCTAAATTTCCAGCTACTTTCTTTGGATTCAGTCACACGTTGTGTTATCATTTCAATTTAAATTATAGTATTTTAAGATTTGCACCTATGAAAAGTTAAGTATTTTTGTATTAGGAGATATTTGATTAAATTCTAAGTTCTTTTGTTTGATCAGTATCAACGGCATCATACTACAACAACAACAACAAAGTCTTAATCCCACTACGTGGGGTTGGCTACATGCATCCTTTTCTCTATTGCGTCCTATTTACTGTCATATTTTCATTTAGTTCTAGTAAATTAAGATCATTTTTTATACAATAAGCCCAGTCTTCCTAGGTCTACCTCTGCCTTTCTTAACACAAGTTGAAGAATCTAAAACATCTACTCTCCTAATCGGATCATCAGATGGTCAACGGCATCATACTACTTGCATTAAAAATTCTGCATCCTTAAGCATCCAGCATCAGAATGTCCATTAGATGAGCAGAAAAAAAAAAACGTGAAGAGATTAGAAGTAGATCTAAGGTTATATGATTAGAAGATGTTCGAAAAGATTTGCGACCAATTGAAAATGATGATTAAAAAGACCAAAATAGTTGGCATAAGAATAATGATAATGAAGATGATGTTAATTATAGTGAAAAGCTACATCTGCTCAACTAAATTAAGAGGGCATTTGATACTTCATTTACTTACACTATCCACCACAATAACATCCACAGATCTGCTATTAACAAGAGTGTTCACTATGCTCAATGTGTTTTCAGCGGAATTTGGACGAGTAACAAGAAGATTTTCCGTGTTAATACCCATTGCTTGTGCCAGTGAGGGATCTATTAAATTCTCAACGGCAATATATGCACAGCACCCTGTGAAAAAGAACAATTTCATTATTAACAGAGGCAAAACCATCACGGTAAACGCTAAAGGAAACTGCCAAAGCACAACATAGTTTCAGAAGAATCAAAATGCGGAAAATCTATTTGCAAAAGATCAAGATGGTGCAGAATTATTCTGAATATTCAAATAATTCCACAGAAAACCATCTTAAGCATACAGAGGATCACAGCATAACGAAGTTATTTAATGGAAATATACAAATATTTCTGGAATACAATTTACACACTTCTATGCAAGAATAATCTTCACAGACAGACAATCTTCAACTTTTCCCCCTCCCCCCCCCCCCCCCCCCCCCAAACCCTCAAATTCAATTTTTTTAATTATATGAGAGGGCAATTTTGTCTTTTGGCCATGATAAAATATCAGTTTTGTCCCTCTTGAAGTACCACTTTGCCCTTCGTTGTCCTAACCCCTCCTGTTTTGGATCTAGGCTTTGCCCCTAGTTACATGAAGTCCACATTCGGCTTATTTTAAGGAGCACTTTGGGTGACCCTGCATGGATAAATGTGATTGATAACAATTTCAAAAGTAACTTACAACCCCATAAAATCAAAAACAAAATTAAAAATTATATTTTGTGAAATTAGCTATAAGAGGTTAAATTTAAAAGGAGTTTCAAGCATGGTTTGCAGATAAAAAAATAATAATTTATATCAATTAAACCGGCACCATTCATAAGGAAGTGAGGGCAATTTGGATGTATTGTAAAGTGTTCACATTTAAACTAGAGGACTGGATGACTGTGAATATGGTTAAAACTCAAAAGGGGACATTTAACTCGGGTATAGGGCAACATTTTTTTTTTCCAACCCGTCATTGAATTAATCTAGAAAGCTATAGCTTAATGGAGTATTGGACCGTTCTTATTCCTCTGAAAAGTAATGTTATAAATTTATAGACGAATAATTTCTTGGAGTCTGCCTCAATGCCTAACAACAAAATACCTTTTAAACCTTCAAATTAAGCTCGAATAGAAAACAAAAAATCAAAAGCAAAGTGTTAAAATTTCAAATACTTATATATAGCTTATTCATAATTATAGGATGAACAACATGTGGAGAAAAGATCATGCAGCCAATTAGCCAAAGATGAAAATACAGAGATGATAAATGAGCAGGATTCCATTTTAAAATGGCGCTAAAAAAACTGATTTAGTATCAAAGAAACCTAGGGGGTGTTTGGTAGCTCCCTATTAATGCATAAGTTCCATGGATTTATGAAATTTTGGATTTAAGGTCCGAATTTTGCCTTCGATTCATGTTAAATCCGGATTTAATAAATCCAACAAGGAGATGAATTTAATAAATCAAGATTTACTAAATCCTACTAATGTTGAACCCTTCCTGCAGCCAAACACCCCCCTTAAAGGCGATGGAAATCGGTTAGCTAACACAAAATTCAACAATATTTCTCTATGAAAAGTAATAAGGCTATCAAAATAAAATGGTGGGATTGCTGCCTTGGAAAAACCTATGTATAGGATATTCTACACAAGGCAATTTAGAAGAAGTTGAAGAACTTGCAGGCATGAATTCAATAAATTGCAAATTGAACTCGAGCTAAATGTAAATTTTATCAAACTACAAATAGGATATCTATGTGGTCTACATCCATGTATTGAGAAATATAAAAGCTATTTATGGCATTGTGTGTGAAAATGAGAATATTAAGACAGATGCGTACAAAATTATGAAGAATAAATTAACTAATAATTTTCTTAGAAAATCAGTTAGAGAGACATCTATTGAAAATAAGGTATTTGAAATAGACTTGCATATACAACCAAAAAGGTAAAAAAAAAAGTGTCAATTAGATGAGTAGACCAAATTAGTGTCGGAAAAATAGGGGTGAAAAGAGATTGGATACAACCAAAATAATATGAATGGAAGTTATTCAAAAACTTCGTAAATAATAGATTTGACACCTCAAACAACATTCAAAAATAACAAATAAAAAATGAGGATTCATAACGCCAACATAAAGTAGTTTGGACAAGGCTAATAATGATGACGATGGGATAATAAAGACATACTTAATTTAACACGTTTTACTAGAAAAAGCAGACCTCCACTAAGTTCTCTTATATTCCGATTCCAAATGCAAAAACACAACATTTTTATAAGGTTACATAATATAAAAGACTAACAGCATCTAATAGTCTGTGGTTTCAAGTTGAATAGAAGAAAAAGCAGATAACCTCCATGCTTCTGCGCTTCCTTCACAATATGAAGGGCGAGTGTTGTTTTTCCAGATGCTTCTTTTCCATAAATTTCAACCATCCTTCCCTGCACTGCAAAAAAATTAATTTTGTATGACATTTGAAATATAACACACAATTATATCAGAAGCAAATCACCCTGCACAACAGAAAAGAAACAACTCCACTCCAGTGGTAAAAGATAGCTTTCTTGGGATTTGTTGGGGATTTAATGATTAGAAAAGATCCAAGTAATTTGTGAGCTGACTCTGAAAGATTTTTATGAAAAGAAAAAAGGAATACAAATTAAGAAAATATATATAGCCCGAAAAGTAGAGATTGTAACTAGAAAATAGCTTTGAACTAATATAGCAAAAGCAAATCCAAATTTTCTCATTAATATTTTTTTTGTACAAATTGTGCTTTTTAGCCTACTTTTGTTTTAATTATGACAAAAAAACTCAATTCCAATAAGAAAAACTTAAAAGTTTAAAATTTTACATTAAAAATTTGCATTCAAGATTTTTTTGCCCCAACCATTCCAAAGCATACAAGAGCCCTTACATTTCACTCCTCTCAATCTCCCTCTCCCACATGCTAGCTTCTCCTCTCACTTGCTCGCAATCCATTGTGGCAGCAAGCAAAATGAGAGGAGATTTTGGGCCACTTATGTGTGATCAAATGAGTAATTTTGATACAATGAGAAGCACGCTATCAGATGGATTATGAGTTCAATGCGGAAACGTCCAATCTACCTCCCGTCTAACAAGATTCCGCGGGATTCTCCCACTCCACAGAATTCTCACGTTTCACTGAACTTCCGCAATCCTTCAAGTACGATCGAGCGGGATTTCCGCAATTCTCCTGAATGGTTAAATTTTCTTACCAATTGCATAGTTGTCAGATCGTGGGCCTAGTTAATATTATTTTAAATTAATATTGGGGTTAATTCTCTTTGGGGAACTATATATTGGTTTTTTCTGGACTGCTTAGACAGACTTTTGGTTATTTTTTATATGTTTGGAGATTGTATCTCTTATTTCTACCCTAAGGACTGTTGTATCATTTTCTTTTTGCAAGTGGTGAGTATCTAGCTTGTATAGGAACAGGTGGTGAATCTCCTCGATCTCCGTACCGAGCCGTTTAATCGGCAGCCCCGTTGTGTTCATCATAGACAGTAGCCGACCGATGTTAAATCTGTTGTCCAGCAGCAAATTTTGCCTCATATCCCTTCCAAATGCGCCTTCCATATTCCTCTTTCCTTACAATCCCACGACCATCTTCATGCTAAAATAGCTTTTTAAATAACATATAGAAGCTCTAAAACGGTGTCAAAGTTACACAAACTGATTCACCCAAACACCCCTAAGCATCTTGGGTGGTGTACCAGCATGACATTTCATAGTCCCACTGCACCCAAAATAGCTTTATTAGAGTTGTGAGATGTCATGACAAGGGGAATATACACTTGTACTTTTTTTTAACCTTTTTAATTCTAGAGATATACAGGGAGAGGAAGGTTACTTTAGGGAGAGAAAATTGTAGAGAAAGAAGTTGAGTTGAATGCAATTTTTTTTCATCGATGAATGTCGACAATGGTTGGACCTTGGGTTGTCGGGTTGTTAATGGAGCACATGAGGTTGATGTGTAAATTTACAAGTCCACATACGAATTCGCTGGAGTTGAGTAAGATCGCTAGACTTAGTGGTAAGGAGGGTGGTTGAAAAAAAAGGGTGAGCTATTGTCATGGGTAATTGTGAGGGGAGAGAAAGGAGAAAGAATGTTGCATGTGAAGGAGAAGGGGGATCAAGTGACCCCAAGTGAGTGTGGTGGTTGTGTGCTGTTAAGGAAGGCGAAGATAGGATGCAGGGTCAGCATAAAACACAACATAAGAGTTGCAAGATGGGATAAATGGGAATGCATGAAGGGAGAGAGGAGAGGGAGAGGACGTGCGAGCTCTAGATATGGAGTAAAGGTGTTAAGCATGACTAGGACATATAGGGTGCAAACGAGAGAGAGAGAGAATGCGAGGATTATTTTGGTCGAATGAATTGGAGTGAGGTGAGGGAAATACAGGGAGTTATGTACATGAAAGAGTTTTGAGCTTGCCAAAGGTGGTTTTCTTCTTATTTGGTGGGTGAAAACAAATGGGAGCTAGGAGGGGATAGCTGCAGATTGTAGAGATTTTTTGAAAAATTGGGCAACGATTTTGCTATGAATAGATATATATATATCATAATAATAATAAGACTGAAAATAATATTATTTTTTTTATCATTTATAATTAATGATAAATTATTTATGCATATCAATTTTTCCTCACATTCCCGTGTTTCAATTTGTGTGTCGACATCTCAAATGCGGCTGATTTTCGCATTTATGATCCACGCAATAAGGGGGGATCCTTCCAAAGTCATTTGCCAAATTCATCAGTGCAGCATGTTTTGCAAATGAATAATGTTTGTGCAATTTTAACAATGATGTGGGCAATTCAACTCCATTATGTGTGACAACTCATCCATAGTGCGTCATTTTCACCACATTAAATCGAATCATTACAGTAACTTCTCTTAGTAATTTTGAAACTTCAAACAAAAATATGCAATCTATTTAGCAAAGTGCAAATTTTTAGATGATTTCAATATGTATGATGTATTTCGACTTTGATTTACCCAATGCCGCAACCGTTGTCCTCTATCTTCATGTTTGATCAAGTTGAGTTGTGGAAAAGGTACAGAGGTAAAGCACTAAGCAACAATATGAAATTAAAAATTATGTTTTTTTCCATGATGATGTGGAAGAAGTGATATGAGCCCCTCAATAAGACTTGCTGATTCTGTCACAAAGAATCCAGCCTCTAGGTTAAACAAAAATGTTATAACTTTAAAAAATACCAAGAGTATGTTTTGGTAGACTCACAAGTCGATGCTTGAAATGGGACAACAACGTCAGGATAGCATACATTCTTCATAAAACAGGCAGTCAAATGTGGAATTCCAATTCTCGGTGTTATGCTGATATGATTATGGCATGAAGAATCAACAAAAAATAACTCGCTACGAAATTTGATATCAAAAAACTTTGCAAGATAAATCACTTTAACACATAAAAATTGCTCAATTTTAGAAAGAATATGTATCTCACAACATAAATATTTCAAAAACTTATTCAAATAAGCAAACATTACAAATTGTAAATCATGTGAAACTCCAATGAAATCAAGCTTGAAATTGGAAAATGATGAAGAGTAAACAGAGGTAGACGGGAGAATATCAGAGACTAGTTGAAAAGTTGATTGATCTATCACACACACTCATTCAAATATAGCATTTGCTGTAAGCATATCAAGTTAATTAATGTACAAGCCAAAAGAATCTTTTCAAACTACCTGTAAAGCCTTGGGTGTTTGAAGTCAACTCCTAGAGAAACAAGTCTTAAACATTAAAACTCTAAAATTATAAAGTTATATATTTATTATGTGTAATCACTTGTCAATAAAAATTGGCATCGACCAGCTGCACTTAAAAGGGGGATCTTGTAACATGGAGTAAGAAGCAGCTAATTGTCTAACAATCAAGTGTTGAATTTGAATTCAAGATAACGGCAAAAAGAATTCTTCAACTCCTATGGTAAAATAAATCTGACAAAATCTAAAGATTAAATGAAATGATCTATAAGGTTATACCATAAAAACAAATCTTCAATTAGCATTACCCATGTTACGATGTAATATAATCAAACAAAACACATAGAAGTTAATAAGCATTTCATAAAAAAAAATACTTGACCATAAGCTAATTTGCATCCCCTTACATTCCAACCGGTAGCTAACTTTCAGACATATTCAGCAAGGGACTTTCGAACCATGCATGGAGAAATATTTTTGGCAAGTTAAGAATGGTAAACATCTTCCAAAAAGCTTAAGGGGAGTTTTAATCAGAAAGATGCAGCTAAAAACAACATGGTTATACAAAAAATAAAGGCTGTATAGAAGGAATAAGAAAGGTATAGTCCAATGCACAAGTATGTGAGGCATTAATAGAAAAAATTTGAAGACTAAAAGGAAACGAATTTGGAAGCTAAAATGGTGTCGTTCTAGCCATTTCCATCAGGAATTGATCTCATAAATATGATTAACAATAGGCCGTGGTTTATCATTCCTAAAATTGAATGGATAACTAAAATATACTAATCAGCACTGGTTTATCATTCCTAAAATTGAATGGATATCTACTATTCAGCACTATGTATATTAACGCGGCCATTGTGCAATACATAATATTAAGTTTGAATAGAGATTTTCTGTACACGTCGAAGACATAAACAGAAATATGTCGCAAGATATGATAGATAAAATTCTCTCATTCATAGCACACCACAGCGTCTGGGAGAATTTTACTTTGCATTTTAATTGATAAAAGTGTCAAGATTCTTTAAATTTTAGAAGAATTCCCATGATTTTAACAAGTTTAGATCAGCATTATCACCTTGCAAACTTCTGAAAGATTAATACATCAGCCTTTGGTTAGTTTAATAATTCAAAAAACTTCAAAAATAATGCCCATTTATTTCTGAAACTTTCCACAAACATCTTAATAAGAAACTCATAACTCATAACTCCTAGTATTGACCTAAGATTACTTCATCAGAAAATATTGATTGGCATACATTCATGGTTGGGAGAACAATTTAGTAGGATAAAAGTTAAATGCATGATCAAAATGATTTTCTTTGAATTTTAGAGGGATTAAGTCTAGAGCGTTCAACATTGAGTAAAAAAGAACAACATTTTACTATCTCCAGCTAACTAATAGCACCACATAATCACCTTCGGTAGTCCTCCAATTCCAAGAGCCTGATCAAGCTTCAATGAGCCTGTAGATATCACAGGGGCCCACCGTTTACCAAAAAAACGTCCCATGGATAAATTAGAGTCTCTATCAAAATCAACAAGAAGCTGGGACAAGGCAAGATGAAGAGTAGCATTCTTCTCCTCCGATTTTTCATAATTACATTGTTTATCTTTCTCATGTTCCGAAAAAATTTCCCCTGCAAACTTGAGAGAATTAAGAGCATAAGTTAAAAGGCCTAGTTATTAAATAACAGAATATATATATATGGATATGGTTTCAAGTCAAAAAATTTAGTATGATAGTATCATAAATATGACATCCAGTAGAGAGAATTAAATGAATCTATTTTATTACCTAGAGCACAACCATTTTAGGATGGATGTTCAATTTCAAAGATGAAAAATTATATTGCATTCACACCAACAACAACAATAACAAAAGCCTTAATCCCACTACGTGGGGTCGGTTACATTAAACATTTTTCTCCATTGTACCCTATTTAGTGTCATATTTTCATTTAGTTCTAATAAATTAAGATCATTTTTTATACAATAAGCCCAAGTTTTCCTAGGTATACATCTGTCTTTCTTAACATAAGTCGAATCTAAAACATCTACTCTCCCAATCGGATCATCAGATGGTCGACGCTTAATGTGACCAAACAACTAAAACGACTTTCTCTAATTTTGTCCGTCACATGAGCTACACCAACCCTATCACGAATATAAATATGTCGCATTTTGTGTTTAAGTGTAAAGTCACTCATCCACCTAATCATTCTCATCTCGGCAACACTTAACCAACACTTAACTTACTCTTTTAAAAGCCAACATTCAATGCCATAGAGCATTGCAGGTCTCACCACTGTCTTATAAAATTTTCCTTTCAGTCTAAACGGTACTTTTCTATCACACAAAAGGCACGAAGCATTCCTCCACTTCAACCAACCAACTTGAACTCTACTATTAACATCCCCATCTATATCACCATCGCTTTGAGCAACAGACCCAAGATATCTAAATCGCTCACACCTTTTAATAATTTGATCACCCAAAGTCACACTTCTGTCACTAGAGCTATTACTACTAAAATTACATTCCATGTATTCAGTTTTAGTTCTACTCAAATGAAGGCTTTTAGACTCCAATGTAGACCT